CTCTCTCTCTCTCTCTCTTTTGGTTTTATCAACATAACCATTTCTTATTTAGTGGATGTGCTTAAATGATTTCAAATAGCCAAAGATATAATTAAATTTAAAGCGTTTTTTGCTGTAAATAATATATTTACACATGGCGCCTCATAGATTCAAAGATACGAAAACCTTATTGACTTTTACAGAACCGTCATCTTGAGTCTTGACCACAGATTATCTACTGTATATTAATACAAATAGGACATTGTGTCGAAGGTTCTTTTTAAATCGTTAAATCGCCATTTGTCTGTGAAAAATTCGATCATTTAAGCTCTGTAGTCTTGACTTCCGTATTGTGCTTACGTTTAAATTAAAATTCTTAATTGTGATCGCTGATTGGTTGAAAATGGTTGAAACCCTTGAAACCCGAATTGTCATTTTAGCCAATCAGGTAATACTTTGCGAGAGGTGCTACACATCTGGAAAAGTGACACAAAAATCTACAATATTATATATCAAATACACAATACAACATTCACACATACATAATAGAAACTATGTTTTTTAAATCACAATAAAATAAAAAGCAAAAAAATAAATTTAAAACTTACAATTTGCATTCGGCCATGTTTGTTCATTGTGACATTTAAATTTGCCGCCTTTGAAGTCATCTAGATATGACGTCATATGTGTCCCAGACTTCCTGTGCGCGCGACCATGAACATGGAAAATTCGAGATTTGATACCAAAACAAAACGAATTTTGTGTTTTTTTGTTGAAATATCATGAAAGATTTCAAAGAAATGAGTACGATTCAAATCAAAGACCGTGGAAATGCTCATTTTGCGAAAAAGCAGTACGAACTAGCCATCGATTGCTATAGTAAAGCGATTGTAAGTAACCGAACGTCATGCTTGAAAAAACCTGTTTATTTACGTTTTGTTTATGATTTGCTGACGCTATTAGTGTGGTTTTAATGACTCGATACTTGCTGTTATTAAGTGTCGTCATAATAGTTTAGATGGATATAGTTTAAAACCTTAGTACAGGCCAGCAGAACTCAGATGGTTGTCAAACTTCTGTTTTATATATTTAAAGCTGCAATACACCCAACCAATTATTTTACTCCGTCTAATGCCAGACGATTTTATTCGTCAAGGGAACAGATTGACCACCATCTGCTGCACATAGTGCTTAGTGAAATTCAACCCACCAATATTCACAGCTTTCAGAATTATCTGGGCAATCTAGGGAGTCGTCGATCGAACATCAAGTCATCCAAAATTAACTGGTGCATATTGATTAGATAGCAACACAAGCACACAACTGAGCTCAATCTGGAACCAAATTATAACGTAAAGCTTAGAGTAGAGGAAGGAGAGCAGAATTGATATTTCATGTACTATTTCTAGTTAATTAGGGCACTAAGAGCCTGTTTATATGGAAGGGAGTTACCCAGCAAGACGAGTTACTTGGCCAGGTGGAACAAACAGGCGTTCTGTTTATATGGAATCGAGTTACTCAGCATTTGCTGTATGATTGCCGAAGTGGTGCCAAAACACAAAAAGGATTTAAGTCGTCTGAAACGTTAAAAAAAAATTACAGAATGTCGGCAAAATACAATAATAAGCACCGAGAAATGCAGCAGCGATTATATTTCAAATGCAAAGCACATTACATTTAATCTCGGGCGGCCGAGTTACACAGAGTGAAATAATAAATCAGCATACATTAGAGCACATTCCAGTTTAATGAGTTAACATAAGAAATTACTAGTTAATAGTTATCAACTTATCAAGGAATACTGGAATGAAGTCCTCTCAGAGGTATTAAAAGGCACATGCTAATAATTATATTTTAAAGACCAAGAATCCCAACATGGCAACACTGTTCACAAATCGAGCGCTGTGTTACTTGAAGTTGAAAAAGTGGGATCAGGCATCGAGTGATTGCAGACATGCGCTGGAACTGGATAACAATATTGTCAAAGGATATTACTTCCTTGGCCAGGCGTTACTTGAACAACAGTTGTATGACGAGAGTATTACATATTTGCAAAAAGGTGAGAAGGTTGGTTTTAACAGGGGGTGTAGTATCGCATTTGCCAACAACAAAATTGGGGGGGGGGGGAGCTAAAAAATGTTTCCTTGCATACCATTTTTCACTAACTTTCGAATTAATGTACCGTAATTGGTTAAATTGTTTGGTAATATTTTCGTAAATTTATCAAATTCTTTGCTATAACTATTACTTTTTAATCCAAGCCTCTCAAATATTTTCGCTAACCACGAAACAATTTGCCAATAAATCGTTATTTTGCTGACAAGATGTTTTCGGGGGTGTCACACCCCATACACCCCCCCCCCATAGTGATTCCCCTGCATACATACCTTTTACAATATATGTGAAATTTACTCATTTTATCGTGATGCGTTTTGTATGAGTTTGTAGAATACTCAGAGAATTCAGGTTGAGAGGTGTACTGTACCTGATTTTCAGTTAAATTATACCAGCATTGCATGACAGGCAAATGTGGTAGTGAAATTTCAGCAAAACCCTTCCATTATAATCAGACTATCATGAGAGCATTTTTTTCCTTTTCTTGAAGCGCTGGACACATCCAAAGAACAGAAACGAAGCTTTGGCGATGATATCACGTTTTCTCTTAGACAGGCACAGAAAAAGGTACACATACAATACCACTGACCATGAAATGCCTCTACCTTTGTTCATTTTGCCAAATGCAATCTTCATATTAAACCTTAATTTAAAAGCCACAATGGACAACTTGCATGTTAGACTAAATTTTAATCTAAGAAACGAGAAGGGAATCAAACACCACAGTTAAAAAGAACATAATGAAATTAGTAAAACTGCAAAATTTGGTTGCGAAATGTTGTAAAATACAGAAAATATAGCCTTGCGAAGTTTGCGTATTTTCAGCATATTTGTATTACGTGCGGAAATTGTTACCATTTTCGGGTCAAAAATGGTAACAATTTCCGCACGTAATACAAACCACGGTTAATCTATTAACCGTGTACAAACATACTGAAAATGTGTAAACTTCGCAAGGCTATATTTTCCGTATTTTACAACATTTCGTAACCAAATTTTGCAATTTTACTGATTTTAATAAGTTCTTTACGGGAATTTACTTTTTTTGACTAAATCAAAAATTAGTCTAACATGCAAGTTGTCTATTGGATTGACTGATAATTCAAATTTGTATTCCCACCAATATTAGGCTAATTTACATTTTTCGGGACGCCCTGTATATTGCGCCATTTAGAGGTTTCAAATACAAGAGAAGAGAAGAATTCAACAAGAAATTGGACTACAGACATACCTTACTAATCTAATTACACAAGACGTGGAAAGGTACAAAATATGCACACTATTTAGTACTATTTAATTTAAACAGGAGCAGAGTGCATTATCAGATATAAAACACGATCGAGGCGACAGTCGAGTGTCCAAAATCTGATAAAGCAGATTGGTTGTGTTTTAAATGGTTCAAAAAACGACCCATCTTATGAGCAGGCTTTTAGCCAGGATCCTAAAAGAGGGCGTCCAATTTTGGTACAACGATACATCTACAGTAAGGGGGGGGTTCGAGAAAACGTTCCTCTGAAAACCTTTGAAGTTTACGTTACTTCATATCAGTATCTATTCCAAGCTCATTCAAAAATTTTCAAACACACTTGGCTTTGTGAGTACTGAGTTTGTGCCGCTATGCTTCTTTACTTAACTATGACATTTTCATTCAGTCAGGTACACCATCAAATTCATGATGAAAATGTCAAATTAATGTATAATAATAATGAGAATTGAAGCTATTTTGTCAGATATATTAAACTTAGGGAAATCATTGAAAATAATTTCCCTTTTTCTCCAGAATTTAGGCGTCCAAAGGCGTCCATTTTTTGTTCTATGCTTCTGGCTAAAAGCCTGCTTATGAGTTCATTGGTGAAGTAATTTTAAAAATCATCGTTGGAGACAATCAAAGCACAGTTTTCTAAAAAGTATTCATTCGGCAACTTGAAACTAGGAGTTAGAAAAAGGGGCACAATTTCATCCAACATTCCTTAGCGCCATCTCTTCCCATAATTTAGAAAATCGTCCGCACTCAAGAGCTCATCGGAAGAAGAAAATCAAAGTGAAAAAGACAGAATACAAGCTGAGGGGGTGAGTAACATGATCCCGACTTTGATTGCGTTCAAAATGACAGAAAAAAACAACTTGAGCCTTGCAGGTATGCTTGACTATCTTAAGCTTTACTATTTACATTGATGTATAGGAAAAACATATTGCCAAAGTCAACGAACTGTTTGCAAACGTGGATGAAAGGAGGAAGGTTTGTATGGGCAGAAATTACTACTGTTTGGCTGAAGACGGTCACATCATCTACCATATGTATCCAGAATTTTATTGATTCTTCTAATATTTTCATTACATTTCAGCAACGTGAAGTTCCAGATTATTTATGTGGAAAGATTAGTTTCGAAATAATGAAAGATCCTGTTATCACGCCTAGTGGGATAACGTATCTTTTCTGAATGACTTTATATGATCGATGTTGTTGAAGTTGTGACTGTTGGGGTAATAATAGAAGAGGCAAAGGCAAGCCTCGGAGGTTACAGTAAAACTTTGTGGGGAGGTGTGCACCTCCCCTGAGTTCGTTTTACACCTCCCCTGAGTTCGTTTTACACCTCCCCTGAGAATTTTTGCACCTCCCCTTGGGAAAGTTTCAATGATAGATCAAAGTAAAATTTGACAATTTTTTTAGTTGCTTACGGTCTACACTTCGTAAGAAAGTTTTTCTGTAAAACTGAAACAGTGATAGCCATTCATCTCTGTGTCAAGTACTGTACCCTTTTAATGCAATATTTTGAAAGAAACTTTGTAGCAATTGTAATGAAGGGCAAAATTGGACGAGTTGTACAGTCATAGTTCATTAATACACTGATACATATGTACACTACATGCATACGTCACGTCGTTGACTTTGGCTCGTTCTACGGTAAGAACTAACTTTCCATGGGGGTCGTGAGCTAGACCGCTGCACCTCCCCTAAATTTTTTCCATCTCCCCCACTATTTCCACCAAAATCCAACCTTGGTGCAAGCATGCATTGGTGCAAGGTTGAACATTCCAAATTTCTGTTGGGCGTCTCGCTCGATAGGATGGAAGATTTTTTGTGGATGAAAACTGTGAGACATACCAACCTCCTCCAGGGTATCAACCTGCAACAGTTTGAATACCCTGGAGCAGGTTGCTATGAGTCACTTATACTTCAGCTTGCAAAGTTTGTCAATGTTGTATATTCATTTCCACTGTTCATATCACATTTCTCCATGTTTCGTATCAATTGCTTATCAATTATATTCCTATACAGATAACATACCATATTAGCACCAGAAACTTTGTAGGAAACTTTTCGAGACGGCTGTGTCCAACTCAGATCACAAGCTTCATCATGTGTTAGCGCCCAGAAATATTCCACTACATTACCTAAGAAAACAGCGTTCCTAAAGTGAAAACTATAATCTATTATACATATTCTACAAAAATGCAACTATATATGTGCCATCTGGCAGGCACCAAGTCTATTATAAAGGCCGAAAGGCGATGCCTCAGCACATATAGTATGTACATTTCCTTAACGCTGATGTTAGATATGATCGTAAAGATATAGAGGAACACTTGCAGGTTTGTGCTATATACTCTACTAGTTTATGTATATATATGTATGGTATTAAATAATGTATAAGGAAAACAAAGGCATTACACTTTGGCATAAGTAAACATTTGACATCGAAGGTAGAAAGAATACATTTACTATCAATCTTTGAATGTGCAAATCCAAGTATTGGCTCTAATAATATATGCAAGAGATTACAACTATTCACATGTTATCAACATCAACTTTGGGCAACTGAGCTTTGAGATCACCACCCCACCACGTACATTTTTTAAAGTTGTATAATTTTCTTGCATTTCTAGAGAGTGGGACATTTTGATCCAGTAACGAGGACAGAATTGAAACAAGGACAGTTAATACCGAACTTAGCAATGAAAGAGGTTGTTGATACTTTTGTGAGCGAAAATGAATGGGTGGTCATGGAATATTGATACTTTTTTGACGTCATAATGATGTCATCTGGTGACGTCATTAATGACATCATCAAGTTATGTCATCATGTGATGTCATTATCCGAAGTCGTCATAGTTGGGTGAACAATAGATATTTTGTCTTGGAATATAAAAGTCTCATTTTATGACGTCAACGTGTGAAACATAACGTCGTAACATTGTCTTACTGCATGACATCATTATGCATTAATTAAAACATTGCGTGTGATGAAGAACATTGTTTGAATAATCTTTTGGAATGTTGAAGTTGTTCATAACATATGTATATCATTACAATGATGTCATGATGTGACAATGTCATACATTACGTATTAAAATTTACAGCAGATTGATACGAAAGTTGGATTTCAAATGTTGGGCCACAGTATGATTGGTTTCGACAACCACCTACAATCGATTTGTTTTGTGCTTTCTGAAAGTTTTGGCACCCAAAAAAGAGTGAAATCAATGTGTGTGTAAACATTAAGTACAGTAAGAGTGAAAACTGTTGTTCCATGTAAATATAGTATATGTAACCAATGTGTTTTTTATAAAATCAGCAACTATTTAATGTTGTCCAACATTACTGTATTTAAGAGAGATGTGACCAATCTCTCGTTGTAAGGCTCCGTTCCCACCAGTGGCGAAGCCAGCCCGACAATTTGGTCATGCTATGCAAAGATTTCCGTGTTCATAGACCGTGAAAACAACAATTTCTAAGAAATCGATGATTTAAAATTTGCATAGCATGATCAAATTGTCGGGCTGGCTTCGCCACTGGTTCCCACAGGACTTTATTATTAAAATTGGTTGAAATATGGGTATAAAATATCTTGCACTTACCCAAGGTTAAGTACTCGGGCAGACACAAAGGCTGCAATTTTAGGTATACTGTTATATCGAGTATATTGTTATTCTGGTAACCCACTTGGCTATACTCTATGGGCCTGAAATTTGCTTGATTTAACCATTCAAGTACAGTAATGTCCTAGTATAAATATGCTTATATGCTTGTCAAATACCTGCGAATAGCTTCACTGGAAATCCATAATCGTTCCACTCCGAAATCAGCAATTTTATCAACCATATATTAAAATGAAACACAAAGTGTAATTTATTCTTTTTTTTTATTAATGACAAGTAACGAAAAGACTAGAAAGTGACCCGCACTTAACAATAAGAAACTAATCCTCCTTCCCTCTATGAAACATGCAGTACGAAATCTTACAAATATCAAATTTACATTATTGTCCCTACAAGTAAATAATATCAACTATCATGACTTATCTTTTTTACATTTTTAAATTGTCTTTTAATTTACAGTAATGAGTTATTTTTAAGTTTGACGAGGCCTAGTGTATTGAACAATAGATAATCCAGGAAAAAATGTGTCTTAATGGTTATAGAGTACTGTTTTTATTTAGAGTGAATTAACCAGGCCTGCAAATATTTTGCTTGGAAGGACAAATGTCTGGCCAAGACAAAACATTGGTCGGACATTTACTATCAGCTTTTCTCGGACAATGGACAAAGTTAAATTTTTCATATTTTTTTTTTTTAATTACCACGATTGTGTTAATCTTCACTGCAATGCATCTAAAACTGAGTGTACATCAACTAGTCCTAATCCATCAGTAGATTATGATTCAGATTACACATAACTTTAATTTCTACTATGACATACGCAGAAAAATGTGTTCAAAACCATTTTTCTGAGATTCGACAATTGACCAGCCTAAATTTGCAATTGTTGGTCACATGCCCAGTCATAAAAAGCTTTGATCAGACACTAAGTAAAATTTGGCCAGACAATTGTCCAACGACCAGCACTAATTTACAGGCCTGGTAAATAGATCACCAACGTACGTTACGAGATTCAAGGCTTCAGAGTCTAAGTCATAATTACAAAATAAGACCGTACAGGCATTAAGCCAAAATGATGTACGCGCTCTGAAAGGGTGCATTCGTTGTCAGGTTATGTCGAAAATACCATCCCTTTAGTTGTACATTTAGAGGCTGTTCACACTAGCATTAAACCTGAGTTGGACGGAAGGAAGAAAAAGCCCTGGTTCCGGATTTTTACCTGACTGGTCTATCACACCAAAAATTGTAATCTGCCTTTTTGATTGGTTAGTGCTAATGGACCTTTCACCTTTTGACTACAATTTAGATTTCAACAAGTCTAGACAAAAATTTTATCACAGCTTGAAAGAGCATCACAAAATTAGTAATATTCCGAAGTTTCGTTGCGAAATGTTGTAAAATGCGGATATTATAGCCTTGCGAAGTTTGCAATTTTCAGTCATTTTGTATTACAAACGGGAAATACATACCCTTTTTCCGAAGGAGGTATGTATTTCCCACGCGTAATACAAAATGACTGAAAATGGCAAACTTCGCAATGCTAAATTATCCGCATTTTACAACATTTCGCAATGAAACTTTGGAATATTACTAATTTTATGATGCTCTTTCAAGCTGTGATAAAATTTTTGTCTAGACTTGTTTAGATCTAAATTTTAGTCAAAAGGTGAAAGGTCCATTAGATTATATTATATTTAGTAGTTTTAACTATAATTTAATTGTTGCTATTGTGTGAAATTGACATTTCTCCTGCCTGGGACATTTTGATACTACATGTAAAGTTTTGTCAAGTTGTATTGTAAAACAGAGCCTGATACTCTGACTAACTAGCAATCCGAAATCAATTCAAAGCCGTATCGGCCAAGTCTTTGACATCGATCTACAGTAAACTAGACCACTTTGAGAGGTAGGTGGTCTCGGATTGGTTGACATTTTACAACCCAGCTAATTTCTTGGTTAGCAGCCTGACATTTCCCAAAATGTGCACACTCCACAAGAAGTCCAACAAACCAGTCTCAGATTGTTCGAGATCGATCTAATTTTATTTTAGATCGATCTCAAAGTGTGAACAGCCCCTTAACATGTGGAGGTATCATCTGGGTTTTTTTTTTAAATATCGCAGATACTGGGTTGACAAAGGAACTTCCCTTCAACTTGCAACAGCACCAGGCTATTGTCAAGTTTTGCAATTATGGGTGGGAAACGTGAAACTTGCCATTAGTCAGGTGACTCAGGTTTTTCTTCACTGTTTTTCTGATGAACTTCAACATTGCAAAGTTCTTCATCTATCAACAGAAATATTTAACTATAATATAAATATATGGTAGCAACAAAACAGCCTTTTTTAAAAATTGTTTGATAGAAAAAAGTTAAATAATTTGCATACCTTTTATATCTGTTGGTGTTTTTGACACATATTCCACTGTGCCATTAACTCTTTGATCTAGAAAACAATATAAGCAAGTAATTAGATCAATCAAGTATAAACAGCTAATCAGTCAAGTAATCAATCCAATCAAGTATAATGAACCAATCAATCATTTAATCAATTAAGTATAATCAATCAAGTATGGTAATTAACCAATCAATAATGCAATCAAATTCAATCAAGTATGGTAATCAGTCAATAAGTGAAATGATCAGCCAATCAATAAAAAATTCAGTTAACCTTTAAATGGCAATGCACCCTACTTTACCCTACTTTAGTATTTTACTCTGTCTAACACCAGACGATTTTAGTCGTCAAGTGGAAAGTACTGCCACTGAATGGGTTAATAAATCAATTGCATAATGAATCAATTACTCAATTAATTACTGCAATAACCAGGTATATAAATCAGTCACCCAAATTAACATGATTAATTAAATACCACATACACAGTGACATGTACATCCAAAGTCAAAGAGTACAGTGAAGTAAACGTTAATAGCCTCCTTCGGCCATGTTTCACGTTCATGTGGCATGACCATGCGTGACAATTGCGTGTTGAAGGTTTAGCCTGCACGTCAGCCTGACTTTATTCTCACACATTTTATATTTTTGGGTGTCTTGCTGGGAAAATAAATACTAATACTTTCTATAATATGGTCAGATGAAGAAAAAACAACACATCAAAAACTGATAATTAAGTGGCATTTATATTTTTTTCTTCTGCTTTTTAAAAATTCAAGGTCAGGATATCCGTAACCCAACAAAAAAAAGCATGTCCTAAAGAAATAAAAAATATAACTACCTTTTATTAAATCTTGCTCCACCTTCTTCCACTCTGTTACAAAGAAGAAATGACCATCAGTTTTGTCAAATAATGTTAAAATTTTCAAACAGAATTTCAGAAGATAATGATTTCAAAAACGTAGAAATGTGAAATGCACAACTTTTCCTTACCTTCAGATAAATAGTTAGCACACATTCTGTGTTGATGTTGATCTCTGTATTCCTTATCTTTGTGAGCACGCCATGGCGAGTTGCTTCGTCTTGGACCAGGACTGGAACTGCCTGATTTATTATAATCTCTAAACAGTACAAACCCAGGTCGATCTCTTAACTTTTTGCCATACTGTTGCTTACAAAGTAATGATGAACCGTTACAAATGTTAGTTATCTCATTCAATTTAAGACTCGATTAAATCTACTTTGTACTTAGTTATTGCATGCTGGATATCTTATAAATATATGAGAACCAGGATTCGTACATGTCAGAAAGAGTCAAATTCAAGGACTTTTTAAGGAAATTCAAGGACTTTTTAAGGACATTCAAGGCCATGTATCAGCAAATTCAAGGACTAAATACTGAAGAGAAGGCGTTAGGAATCAGTAAAAAGTGACGTTGAATTGTTCAAAAAGAGTGCAACTTTAATGAATTTATCAAACAGTTTTATCAGATATGAACATGCAAAATAAATTCAACAGAATGTCCGTTTTGAATGTCAAACAATTTCAGAAAATATCCATAAACTAATGCAAGAAGAATTTAAGAACTCTCAAGTACTTCTTTACAAACTCAAGGATATTCAACACCCCCGAATTTTTGTTTTCAAATTCAAGGACATTCAATATAGGACTTTCAAGTTTTGAACAAACCCTGGTGAACAGTTTAGCTTGTGGGTGTGGACTGTGCCTCTACGTATTAAATGTGACTGTATGCGGTTGTAGTACCCGAACAGATATTGTTAGGGAGCATCTGGAGGACACTCTAAGAATTTGTGACGTCAGTGCAATGGGTCTATATATTTGTATATTTTTATACAGTTTATATATTGATAAATTGTGCTGTAAATTATTGCAGTTTTGAAGCAGTACCCCAATGGAAAACATGTGTATGACATGGGTATCCTGGCTAAATATAATTATTATTACTATGAACAGTTGCAAGTAAAACATTGTCTATTCTTCTATCAAACTTTAGTGATTGAGCGATAATTGGAATCGGGCTGATTGATATTGGTATAGACAATCGGAATCTATAGAATGATTTGTATTTTCGATTGTGTAAAACTGATTGAACATTGAGAAAATATGTACTTTAAAAATTATATACATTCCGAGTGTTTTAACACAATATGTAGGCACCTCAATGGCCATTACTACCATTTTCGACCATTATAATACAAAAAAAAACAGCATTACAACTTTCACAAATTTCACACATTCATTTGTAAAATACCATTTCATTCCTGTCTTAGATGCTTTTTCAAAGCTCAAATAGCAAAACATTGCCTTACATTTTAGTATCGTATCGGAAATCAATGAAAATGTTAAACAGAAAATTGTACAAGCATGCACAAAGGCGACATATGTTGGGGACAGCCTTGAATGAGAAACTACAACAAATAGTGCTCTAACTCTACCCCCAAGATCTTTGAAGTTTTGTGCACAGAATAATACATCCTAGAAAGGCCAGACAATTTACTTGTCCTGACTTTCATCAGTTAAAAATTAATGGACATAATATCTTAGAATGTTAGTTCTTAAACCAGCAACACCGGTTGTTATGATTGGGTTTTTGCTTGCTAGATCCCACACACTTTCCAAGCTAGGTATATAATTGTATGGCAGGTTATGTAAAATATTATCAAAGCTGACTTTCTAAGTTTAAAGCACGAAATAAAATTGAAAATAATTCATGAATCAATTATTCCATTTTCTCCCAATTTTTAAGCATTTCCTGGAAAATATTAAAAGTACAATTACTTTCATTTTTGGCAACTTTACTTTATATTCAGCAATGTTTAAATTTTGTTGTATGTGTCTGCAAACTTGTATAATTTTGTATATGTATACAAATATACCTTTCTTTTAATAAACATATGCATTCTCACTTGCATTTAACGTGATTTAACACACAAAAACCACAAAAGAGCCAAGCCCACACAAATTCCGAAAACAGGGTTCAAAGTTTACACTTCATTCGCTTGAACAAGTTGAAGCATAGAAAAATGCATAATAGTAAACGTACATATTTTGTACTTTTCATTAAATAAATTCTATCAAATTCTACACATGAAACAAATTTACGTATTCACAAAACTCTGTAGCTTTAACCTTGGCTAACCAAATTTTAAACAAACATGTAATTTTATGAAGTTGACAACCACGAAAAACATGTCGAGTTTCTACCCAAAATGATAACGATTTAAATCATTCTATACCTTGGTCCGGGCCAAGCGTCCCGTTTTCTATAGTCCCCACCTCTTTGGCCTATAAAAAAGCAAGAACCTATTCAATTTTGAAGACATGAATACGCGAAAAAGCAAAAAAATTCACAAAATGCCAACCTTTCCCTCCTTTGTATGTCGCCATGTTGACGCTCAAGGGGAACTGGGACAGAAAATGCGACGGCGGGCAGTGCAGGTTGTGTCACCCAAAAAGCAGGCCTGTGCGGTGATTATGCAAATCAGTTTGTCTTCTGAGAAAATTTTTGGTTTTGGGGATTATCCCATACCTGTGTTAAAAGCGGCTTTCTGATTGGTTTAGAGCAGGTGAGCTTGTCGTCGAGCGAGCAGGGTTTGGCATTACCAATGCGCGAGAAGACCCCGCACGAGAAAGCCCCTGTGCACGAGAGCGCCCCAACCAAATATGGAAGTTTTCGCTGCAGCGAATTGCTTATCAGCGGTTGGTACGTAAAAAGGAATAGAAATTCTCTGAGTATTAAAATTTACAAAGTCTACGAAGATACGAGAGCAAAATCTACGAAGATACCAGTTTTATAAATACCTGGTAAGTTATCGGTCTGTTTATTTTACATTTGAGACTAGTTGTTCAACGTCATATATTAGCCATTATGATTAATAAATAGAATTAGCTAAAGCATCTTGCTAACAGATCGCCAACACAAACGTGCATACAAAATTACAAATATAACATTGCAAACAGCAGAACATATCTTATTTATGCTGGTCGTTTCGTTTTGTATTAACTATTAATACCGTATTTAATGGAATATTATTGAATGGATATTTTTAATTTTGGCAAGTACTGTAGTGTAAATTATTTACTAGAAAATGTCATATTCCACTTGCCAGGATGTTTTGGTTGTTTTGACAGTTTATCACAATCTCTTTGTACCTTCATTCCAACCCAGATTGTCCAGTTAGTGAGTGTTTAATTAATATATGGGAAGATTTTCAAGTGAGATTACATGAACACAAATTACCCTTTTATTATTTGTACTATAATATATAACAACAGCAAGTTCTTGTTTTTTATTTATTTATTTAGCTTTGCCAACTAGGGCAGGGTCACCACAACAGCATATGCCAATTACTGTGGGCCCTTTTTACCTAACCCACCCTGTCAACTTTCCCTGTGGGAGGAAACCGGAGTACCCGGGGAAAACCCACGGCTTTCGGCAGAGCGTTGACTTTTACTCTTTTCACATGAGGACTGGGTTCGAGTCGCATTGAGAAGGTACTTAGTGAGATTCGAACCTGCAGCCTCAGAGGTGAAAGGCAAGTGTGCTAACCACTTGGCCCCTGAAGCCTCTTGTGTAATATTATTGTCAATTCCATGAGTAACCCCTTTTGAGGAATTTGCTGGGAATGCCATTCCCGGGGGCCATGCAGTTGCTTTCAGATTAGTGTACTGGGGCCGGACATTGTTTGGCGGCTAAAAGACCCCTGGACATTTGACACTAGCGAAAAAAGAAAGAATGTGAGATTTGTTAGTTGAAGCTTGTTAATGTTAATAATACAAAATAATATTTGATAATACACTGTTACTGAACTAAATTTAATACCAGATTAAGTTGGATGGTTTATACCCCCATGCATTATGCAATTTTTGCTATGCATTATGCAATTTTTAACAATATTGATGAAAGCATTTTTTTTTTAATCCCGGGGTGGGACATTTGCCACCTAACGGTTGTGCATGGCTGTACATTTTCTCACCTGCTGTCTCCCAGCGGCTGGGAATTATCCCTTTCTTTCCAAAAAAATGCTAATGTCTGGGTATATTCCCAGGAGGTGTGTGTGTGGGGGGGGGGATGGTTACTCATGGAATTGACTCATGCATAATTGTTGTGTGACTTGTGTCCATTATGGCACACCGTTTCAGCCAAAAGTATTCGAGAAATTATCAGAATTCATGTCAAGAATCAGCCAAAAGTGAGATTTTACAACTATTCGAGATTTTACAGCCATTTGAGATTTTTTAGCTTTTTGAGATTTTAAGAACCATTTGAGATTTTACAACCATTTTAGACTTCTAACTTTAGAGCTATTCGACATTTTACAGCTATTCGACATTTTACAACCATTCGAGATATTACAACCATTTGAGATTTTACAACCATTTGAGACTTAATTCTAACTTATTCACTATTTCAAAAAAACTCGATCCCATGAAAATACCTGTATCTTTATTGCCTCCATTAAATTTAATTTCGTCCATAATATTACATCTTCTGTTTGGTGAAATGGGCCTTCCGTTTTGAAAACAAAGGCTTCTATAAATTCAACTTTAATTTAATCCCACCCCTTAGAAACATTGTCATTTGACCCTAGAAACTTATAATATGCCATGGGCCCCAATGTTGAACAGCCCAACGCACGCTTATAATATGCCATGGGCCCCTTCTTCCATGATCCAACTTATCGCTGTTATTACCATGGTCAACCATCTTCAGCATTTCATTAATTAATATCTATGTTTCTACTCCTTGGAGTCCATGAAAAGGCACCTGTTACAGCCAGTTCTTTTTGACCATAAAACATGACCGTTTCTTGTGTCAAATGACAATTAATGTTTCTAAGGGATGGATAAACCAGAAAGGCCGTTGTTTTCCGAAAAGCCCATTTCTGTAATTTCACCAAACAGAAGATTCTCGACATGAATTCTGGTTCTCAATACTTTTGGCCGATTCTCAACATGAATTCTGATTCTCGAATACTTTGGGCCTTCTACTAGAATATTAACCCATTAAGCACCAGCACTCTCCCCTTGATGAGTAAAATCATCTGGCATTAGACAGAGTAAAGTAATAACATAGGGTGCTGATGGCTTCAATGTGACTCAATTCCACAGAATATTAATTTTAAAAAAATGATTAAGTCTATGAAATCTTGCCCCAAAACCCCCAGGAAGAAAACTATATTGATAGACTATACTAAAAAATATTAAGGAACCATATTATATACATTAGACAAAAGATATGGATCATGTAAATTTTTGTGGTATTCTGTGGTACATACACCTGTACAGTACAGATCGAAGCTAGTCGCTGAGCTGTAACTGCAAGTTTATCAACATGTATATATAACTGCAAGTTTATCTACATGTATTTGGGTGTGCGGGTTGTGATAAGGTCAGGATGTGTATATATATGCTCACTTGGATTAGTTTTTATTTATTTATTTATTTATTATGCTTTAATTGCCAATTTCACACTATCATATCTGCACAAATACAAACACAAGAATATACAAACTATCAATCAATCAGTGGCAGGGTATATGCTACAGCTTTGTGCCAATTGTACAGCAGCCCTTACAGAACAAACATGACACATTCTACATTAGATCTTTAGTAATATAAAAAGGCCAGTTTGCACCCAGGAAAACCCTCCGCAGGATAGTAACGGAAGGAAAGTGTACATAGTGCTAAAGTCGTTAGTTTCAATGCTGTGCGCTCCTGCGGAAAATTTTATTGAGTGGAAATTAGCTGACAATGAAGATTAACAAGACCAACACAGGGACACACATTAGAATTAATAACAACACAAATTTGAACAAGACAAATTATGGGACTTGTTACAAGACAAACATATAGACTTCTATGTTCTAGGATTTTTTATCTAGCAAACCCAGCATTCTAGTTCACCCAAGTGAAGTGCTAACCAGGGGTGGAAAAATATTTTACTTTCTGGGACCGCAAGAGAACATTGCACATTTCTGCAAATAATAAAGTAAATTGACACTCGGACACTGTAACTATGTGATGTTATCAAACTGAATGTCATGTTATATTTTAAATTAACAGAAAAATATTAATTAACATAAAACTAATTTAGATAACATGCATCAAGGGTCTGATCCTAAGGTGAATAGAGATGCTTAAAAAGGCACTACTAGGGGGGCACTAGCAGGGGGATCCATGCCCCCCCAGAAAATTAGGCATTCCAGATTGGCTAAAAATGAATTTGCCATAGAACATTTGTTACATTATTCTATAGTCTTACACTATTAAGATGGATAATTATTGCATTTCTAAGGTCATACCTACAGCACAGGTGACTTTTTTTCTATTAGTTAGAATTTTTCCTTTTAGCTATTAAATTTTTACATTAATTATCCTTTTTCTTTCTTGGGGAACTATTTTCTGGGAACTATATATATTTAGTTCATATTTGTGCGGATATCTATTGTTCTCAATAGGGTTTTATTTGGGTAAGAATCTAAAAGCAAGGGGAGGGATTTGATATCTCCACAGGGAAAAGCGGGGTTGATGAATAGAATTGAATGCCTAATTAAAAATGCAAGGTATCTAACTCCATAGTGACCACTTTTAGAGGTCACTATGGAGTTAGATACCTTGAATTTGTAACAAAACTCAAACTCCACATCTCCTTTTCGACTAGAAAACGCTGCACGTCTCTGAGTCGAGAAAGAGACAACAGCCGTGTACCTCAGGAGCCCGTCAAACTCTACCTTTGGGTAGGAGTATTTATCATTCGGTGCACGAGGACTAGCTGAACCAAGCACCAAACTTGCTTGTGCAAGCAATTTATACAGTAATATCTGCTCTTTCGCTTGTGGGACGCGAAATGATATACTACGCATGCTCAACCACATTAAAGCGTGTTTAATGTGATGTTCAACCTTATTTTGTCCCACAACCATAACCTCCCGAGGACAATAGAAAATGGATATAAACATAAAAACCTCATGCATGGTCGGTCTTTCATTGAAATTCAAGAAAGACTTCCCAATGAAAGACTTCCCATTCTGTTTTTATCCTATATATAAAACCCTGTTGAGAACAACTTGAGAATCTCTGCTTCGACAAACCCGTACAAATCTTCGTTAGCGCTTCTCTGTTGTATGAGCTATTTCGAACATATTTCATCGTAATTGTGGTTGGTGAACGAATATTCAATCACTTCTCATTGATAGTATACAGTAATGCGACACGAGAATTAATGCACATCAAATGCGAAAGCCCTGTTTGTTTTTATTACAACCATGGTAATTCAAACTCATTTAAAGAACAATACATATCATAAAGTGTTTTTCATTGTGGGCAATCCTTACAAATATGAACTAAGTTAGTTAGATACCTCAAACGTCGGCTCTTAGTCAGATAAATCCCTCGGGGCCTACGGCCCCTCGGGTTTGTATCTGACTAAGAGCCTCCGTTTTCGGTATCTAACTCTTACATATATATATGCTTGGATTTTTTTTTTTTTTTAAATATATTCGCCCAATTTAATTACAAAAATTTTGATTATTATATTTACATGTTTATTATCTAGGGCTAGGGGCCTACTAGAAACCATCAAAAGGCTTTTGATTAAGACCCCTAGTTACATTTTAAATTACAAAATAAGGATCCTATTTACAAACAAAACTAGGTGACAGTGCTTCAAGTGAGGTGCAACATGATAAAGTATTTACATATAGTGCTACAGTAAATAAAATGTTGTGATCACAAAAGTGTATTATTATTAATTCATATAAAATTTGATATTGCAGATGTTGTTTTGGTAGTAGTTTTTCAGTTATTCAGTATGTAGTATTTTTTCGATTTTTTCTTGAATATATAGTAAGATGCTATATTTTTAAAGTTTGGGTCAAGATTATTCCAGATATCAACTCCCTTGTTAGAGAGTGAATGTTTGACATAGTTTGTTCTTTGATAAGGCTTATCCACCAAACTCAGCATATATCTATTTTTCAAAAACATGGTCATGAGTAAAGAACTGTCAGATGGAGTGTTTCATTTTAAGAAAAATTTTGTTTATATAATAGTACACAACATGTCTAGACTATAAATGTCTCATCTGTGACTATTTCTTTAATAAACCTTTTGCATACTAAACTTGAAAGATACTATTCATATTAAATTTAATTTGAATATTCATAATTTAATATGTGAGGGCCAAACAAATGAAAAAGTGCAATTAACACAACTATATTATTATTATTACTGGAATTATAACTGCAGTACATGCAATAACATAAGTTAAATTACTATATAGTTTACAACTATATTATATTTACTATCCTAATTGTTGTTCATAGTATAAAAAATGTTAATAGCATGTAAAAGCGGGCTATTTTATAAACAATTTTTGTTCCCTCTAGTGTTTCTTTCCGTTACTTCAGATCTTTTTGCAGGAAGCAAATGATTAAGCTAATGATCTTCTTCAGTCATATCTGATATTAACTTGAAACAGTGGTCTTTTCTTCGTTGTTCCAATGTTGTCAACTTGTTCGCTTCCAATACCTGTTTGTAATCTTGTCCTGGATATATTATACGAAATGCTCGTTTTTGAATCATTTCGATATTGCATCGTTGTTTAGCAGTTAGACCCCCAGGCCATACTAAACATCACCAATTCACCATATTCTAAAACCGGCCTGATTATTGAATTATAAAATGCCAACAGGTTCTTTGTGAGGGCACCGTAATTCTTTAAGATTTTTAAAAAGTACAGTCTTTTCCGGCACTTTTTAACCAAAGCCCAAGTGTTAGTCTCCCATTTCAGATTATTATCGATCCACACACCCAGTAATTTGTAGGAGCTGACACGACTTATTGGAGACTGTTCCGCTTGTAGTTCAGGAATTTCTGTTTTCGTTTTTCTGAAGTCTATAATCATTTCTTTGCACTTTCACCTGTTTAAAGTCTCCTGTTGGTCTTGTATGTCCACGGCTGTTTCGTCTTCAGTATTATTTTCATTGGCCAAACCTGGAATATCTGTAACTGGTTCGACATCTTGAGTGTCGTTTATGTTCTCCGAGGCAAGTAATTGATCGATGTATCTCCTCCAGATAACATTTGGTGCAATCTCGACCTGGTATGACACTGGTCCGGTTCGAGCACGCACAATTCCTTGAATCCACTTTTCCTTCTCTCTGTAATTTCTGACACTAACTGCATTACCAGCAATATCACCTTTGGGTTTGGCTTGGCTGACTTGTTTCTCTATAACATGCTTTCGAATGTCCAGTTTGATCAAGTCTAACCGTGTGCGTAAATTTCGTCCAATGAAGAGAGTTGCTGGTGTTTCACCAGTCGTGGTGTGTTTCTATATTTCATTAAGAATTTGGATAGTTTGGTCTACGTGGAGCCAAGGTCTTCCTTCATTGAAGTCAAAGATTGTTTCATGGTTTGAATGAATCTTTCTGCTAAGCCGTTAGTGGCTGGATGATATGGTGCTGAAGTTACGTGTTTAACTCCGTTTTTCTTTAGAAATAGCTGGAATTCTTCTGCAGTGACTTGAGGGCCATAATCGCTAGCCAGTTGTTCTAGTAACCCATTTCGAGCAAACACTGTTCGCAGGGCGGACTTCGACAGTTTTGGAGGTGGTTGTTTTCGAGTGCATGATTATTACCTCTCACCATTTTGAATGAACGTGAACAATCACTAAAAATATCATTGCAAGAAATGGTCTTGCAAAATCGACATGAATACGTGGCCAGGGGGTAGATGGCCACTCGCATGGGTGTAATGTTGAGCATTTGGGGGCATGTTGAACCCGCTGGCAACCACTGCATCCTTTCAATCTCCAAATCAATTCCTGGCCACCAAACGTAACTTCTAGCCAGAGCTTTCATTCTAACCACACAAACATGACTTTCGTGTAATACTTGTAGCACTTCGCTTCGTAACTTTGTGGGAATGACAACTCTGCTCCCCCACATAATACATCCTTGGTGCATAGTTAGTTCGTTTCTTCGAGAGTAAAAGGGTTGCGCACGCAGGTTGGGGTCTTTATTTTCATGCCAGCCTTTCATGACATGCTCATACACTTGGGCGAGGGTAGAATCTCGTTGGGTTGCTTTGCGTACTTGCTGCCAAGTTACAGGAAACATGCTGAACTGTGACACATGAAATGCCTCAACCGGGTCAACAGACTGATTTTCTTCATCTTCAGTTGTTGCTAGAGGTAAACGGGACAATCCATCTGCATTGCAATGCTGTGTTGAACTACGGTGTTCAATCTCGTAGTCAAACCCTGAAAGGAATAGTGCATATCGTTGGACTCGAGCAGCAGTCGTTGCTGGTATAGCCTTGGTTGGACTGAAAATTGCTGTCAATGGTTTATGATCTGTTCGCAGAGTGAAATGTCGTGCAAATATGTAAGTATGGAATTTCTTCACACCCCATACTAAAGCCAATGATGCTTCCTTATCTATCTGAGAATAGTTTTTCAGTTTTTGTAAGGGACCTTGAAGCATAAGCTATTGGTCATTCAGTATTATCACCCATGACTTGTGTTAAAGCTGCCCCCAACCCATACGGAGATGCATCGCATTCTAACTTGATTGGGCGTTGAGGGTCATAATGTGCAAGGACTTCCTCGGATGCAATTAACTCCTTTGCTTTCAGAAAAGCTTGCTCACATTCCGAGGTCCATTTCCACCGTCTCTCTTTTTCAAGCAACTGGTTTAGTGGTTGAAGTAAGGTAGAAAGGTTTGGAAGGAAATCGTGGTAATAATTAATAAGACCAACAAAGGAACGAACTTGGGAAACACTCTCAGGACGTGGTGCATTTATCACAGCATTCACTTTCTGTTGGGACTTGTGCAGACCCAGTTTGCTGATCTCATGACCACAGAACTCGATTCTTTCTTTGAAGATTCGCACTTACCGATGTTGGCTCTGAGACCATGTTCACTAAGTCGACTGAGAACTTCTATGTTGTCAAGATGCTCTTGGTCTGTTACACCAGATATGATCATGT